TAAATAATTGTGTCCAAGCACTGATCTCTGGGGCTCTCCACTAGTTGCAATTTACCATTCTGAAAATACCTTCCTTATCCCAACTCTCTGTCTTCTATTATTTAACCAGCCCTCTATCCGTGCTAATATAGAGTGGTGGATGTTGTCTAAATGGACTTTAGTAAGGCCTTTGACGAGGTACCTCATGGCAGGCTGATACAAAAGGTGAAGTCACATGGGATCTGTAGTGAACTGGCAAGATGGATACAGAACTGGCTTGGGCAGACAAGACAGAGGGTGTAGATAGGTATCTTTTAGGAAGGTGTCTTTTTGACTTGGTGATCTGTAACCAGTGATGTTCCTCAGGGATCGGTGCTGGTTCACTGTTGTTTGTAATGTATATAAATGATTTGGAACGGAATGTAGGTGGTCTGATTAGTAAGTTTGCAGACAACACAAAGTTTGAGGAAGCTGTGGATAATGAGGAGGATTGCCAGAGGATACAATGGAATACAGACAGGCTAGAGACTTGGTTGGAGAAACAGCAAATGGAATTTAATCCAGACAAATGCGAAATGATGCATTTTGGAAGGTCTAATGCAAGGGCAAAGTGTACAGAAAATGGCAGAACCCTTATAAGCATTAACATACAAAGGTAAAAACCAAAAGAACTGTGGATGCATGTTAATCAGGAACAAAAACAAAATTGCTGGAAAAGCTCAACAGGTCTGGCAGCATCTGAGAAGGAAAAAACAGAGCTAACATTTCGGATTTCTTTACGAAGGGTCACCGGACCCGAAACGTTAACTCTGTTTTTTCCTTCACAGATGCTGCCAGACCTGCTGAGCTTTTCCAGCAACTTTGTTTTTGTTCCTAACATCCAAAGGTATGTAGGTGTACAGTCCATAGTTCCTTGAAAGTGGCAACATAAGTGAATAAGGTAGTCAAGGTGTATGGCATGCTTGCCTTCATCAGTCAGGACACTGAGTATAAAAATTGGCAAGTCATGTTGAAGCTGTAATGAACTTTAGTTAAGCCACATTTGGAATATTGTGTACACTTCTAGTCACCACACTATCAGAAGGATGTGGAGGCTTTGGAGAGGGGACAGAAAAGGATTACTAGGATGTTTCCTGGTTTGGAGAGTATTAGCAATAACGAGAGGTTAGATAAACTTGGTTTGTTTTCACTTCAACATCAGAGGTTGAGGGCTCTGAAAGAAGTTTACAAAATTATGAGAGGCATGTATAGAATGGATAATAGGAGTCTTTCCCCTTGGGTAGAAATGTCAATTACTCAGGGACATTGGTTTAAGGTAAAAGGAAGAAAGTTTAAAGATGCAAGGCAAATTTTTTTACACAGAGGGTTGCAAGTGTCTGGAATGTCCTGCCAGAAGACATGGTAGAAGCAGATGCAATGTTTAAGAGGCATCTTGACAGACACATGAACAGGCAGGGAATATAGGAATATGGACCATGTAGAAGCAAAATGTTTTAGTTTAAAAAGGTATCATATGTCATCACAGGCTTGATGGGCTGAAGGGCCCGTTCCTATGCTCTACTGTTCTTTCTACCATCTCCAAAACCATGGGCTCTTTTTTTAAATTAAGTAGCCTACTGTGTGTTATCTTATCAAATACCTTCTCAAAGTTCAAATATTTTATATCCACTGCTTCCGTCTTATCTATCCGGCTCCTCAAAGAATTCCCATAAATGTATCTGGAATGATTTCCCATTTATGAAGCCATACTAACTTGGGAAAATCATATTTTATATTTCAAAATGTGAAAGGCTGGGACTCTGGTTCTGGTCCCTGCGGCAAGCCAATTTCCATACATTCCAAAAACATTTTGCTCCAGCTTTCTGATTTCAGTCTATCAATTAATTCTCAATCCATGCTGAAATATTACTCCCTATTACTTGTGCTTTGATTTTCCACAATAAACTCATTAAGTAGGACCTTATCAAAAACCTTCTGAAAATCTAAATACACCACAGCTACTTATTTTCCTTTATCTATTCTATTAGTTACATTCTTTAAAAACTATACAGAATCATAGGATCCCCACAGTGTAGAAGCAGGCCATTCAGCCTGTTAAGGCCACATTGACCCTCCAAAGAATATTCCACCGAGGCCCATGACCTGCCCATTCCTGTAACCCCATTACTTTCCAATGGCTAACCCAGCTAGCCTGCACACTATGGGCAATTTAGTAAACCTGCATGTCTTCAGACTGTGGGGTGAAACTGCAGCACCTGGAGGAAACCCAGATAGACACGGGAAGAATGTGCAAACTCCACAAGCTGTCACCTGAGTCTGGAATTAAACTGGGGTCCCTGGCGCAGAACAGTACAGCACAGTAACCCTTCGGCCCATGATGTTATGCCTAACTATTATCCTACTTTAAGATCAAACTACCCTTGCATACCCTATATTTTACTATCCTCCATGTGCCTATCCAAGAGTCGCTTAAAAATCTCTGAAGTATCTGACTCCACTACCACTGTCGGCAGCGCATTCCACACGCACCAACTTCTCTCTGTGTAAAGAACCTCCCTCTGACATCTCCCCTATATCTTCCACTAATCACCTTAAAATTAAGACCCCCTCGTAATAGTCATTTCTGCCCTGGGAAAAAGTCTCTGACTATCCACTCTATTTATGCCTCTCATCATCTTGTACACCTCTATCAAGTCACCTCTCATCTTCTTCGCTCCAATGAGAAAAGCCCTAGCTCCCTCATAAGACCTGCCCTCCAGTCCAGGTAGCATCTGGTAAATCTCCTCTGCACCCTCTCTAAAGCTTCTACATTCTTCCTATAATGAGGTGACCAGAACTGAACACAATATGCCAAGAGATAGTAGGAACTGCAGATGCTGGAGAATCCGAGACAACAAGGTGCAGAGCTGGATGAACACAGCAGGCAAAGCAGCATCACAGGAGCAGAAAGGCCGACACTTCGGGCCTAGACCCTTCATCAGAACATTCCACGTGTGGTCTAACCAGGGTTTTATAGAGCTGTAGCATAACCTCACGGCTCTTAAACTCAATTCCCCTGCCGATGAAAGCCAACACACCATACGCCTTCTTTATAACCCTATCTACTTGATGGACAATCACGATTTCCCCTCCAGAAATACCATCAGCTTTGTGTAATCCATTTGGTATTTTTTAAGTATCCTGTTGTCACATTTTTATAAACAGGCTCCAGCATTTTGGTCGGAACATGGGGAATAGGAGTTGGGAGGTCACGTTGCAGCTGTACAGGACATTGGTTAGGCCACTTTTGGAATAGTGTACAATTTCTAGTTACCCGTCTGCAAAAACGATGGTGTTAAACTTGAGAGAGTGTACAAGGATGTTCCTGGGGTTGGAGGGTTTAAGCTATAGGGAGAGGCTGAATAGGCTGGGACTAAGAAGTGGAAGGGTGAGTTACTAAGTTTGCCAATGACACGAAGGTTGGAGGAGTTGTGGATAGCGTGGAGTGCTGTTGTACATTGCAACGGGACATTGACAGGAAACAGACCTGGGTAAAGAAGTGGCAGATGGAATTCAACCCAGAAAAGTGTGAAGTGATTCATTTTGGAAGGTCAAATTTGAATGCAGAATACAGGGTTAAAGGCAGGATTCTTGGCAGTGTAGAAGAACAGAGCGATTTTGAGGTCCACGTCCATGGATCCCTCAAAGTTACTACCCAAGTTGATAGGGTTGTAAAGAAGGCGTATGGTATGTTGGCTTTCATTGGCAAGGGGATAGAGTTTAAGAGCTGCAAGGTTATGCTGCAGCTCTATAAAACCCTGGTTAGACCACACTTGGAATATTGTGTTCAGTTCTGGTCACCTCATTATAGGAAGGATGTGGAAGCTTTAGAGAGGGTGCAGAGGAGATTTATCAGAATCCTGCCTGGACTGGAGGGCAGGTCTTATGAGGAAAGGTTGAGGGAGCTAGGGCTTTTCTCATTGGAGTGAAGAAGGATGAGAGGTAACTCGATAGAGGTGCACAAGATGATGAGAGGCATAGATAGAGTGGATAGTCAGAGACTTCTTCCCAGGGTAGAAATGACTATTACAAGGGGCATAATTTTAAGGTGTTTGGTGAAAGGTATAGGGGAGATGTCAGAGGTAGGATAATAGGTTGGCACAACATCGTGGCCCAAAGAGCCTGTACTGTGCTGTACTGTTCTATATTCTATTTTCCCTGGAGTGTCAAGAGGCTGAGGGGTGACTTTAAAGAAGTTTATAAAATCGTGAGGGCATGGATAGGGTAAATAGACAAGGTCTTTTCCCCAGGGTGTGGTATTCCAAAACTAAAGGACATAGTTTTAAGGCGAGAGGGGAAAAATTTAAAAGGGACCTAAGGGGTAACTTTTTCACACTGAGGGTGGTGTGTGTATGGAACGAGCTGCCAGAGGAAGTGGTGGAGACTGGTACAATTACAACATTTAAAAGGCATCTGGATGGGTACATGAATAGGAAGGGTTTGGAGGGATATGGGCCAAATGCTGACAAATGGGAGTAGGTCGGATTAGGATGTCTAGTCAGCGCAGATAAACTGTTTCCGTCCAGTATAACTCGATTTTCCCTGTTACTGACATTGAGCTAAAGCCGAATTGGATTCTAAGAACTAAAACTTAATGTTTTAACCTGCCATTGCGAACAATCAAGGCTGCATCCTCCTGTTCTATCAAACCTGGAGAACTGGAAACTTCCACGGGGGCGGGGTTAGGGGAATGGGCGGGGTTTAGCTTTAGGGGCGGGGCTTGGATTGCGGTGTGTGCGGGGTGTGGAGGTTGGGGCGGGGTTTGGAGGTAGGGGCGGGGTTTGGGTTAGGGGCGAAGTATAGAGCTAGGGGCGGGATTTGTGTTAGGGGCGGGGTTTGGATTAAGTGGGGATATGGGCAAGGGGAGAAGTTTAGAGATAGGGGCGGGGTTTGGAGTTAGGTGGGGGTCTGTTGCTATGGTTCCTCAGTCGGTTCGTTGAGGACCAGCGGAAGTGAGATTTTTTTGATGACGCTAGTTCCGGATCCTGACGCACTAACAACAATAATACAAGATGTCGGCGGCTGAGGGAGAACTAGAAACACTCGCCCGAGACAGACCTGTGGGACCCGGGGAAGAAGGGCCCGGAGCCGGGGGACCCGGGGGAGAAGGGCCCGGAGCCGGGGCGCCCGGGGGAGAGGGGCCCGGAGCCGGGGCGCCCGGGGGAGAGGGGCCCGGAGCCGGGGGAGAGGGGCCTGGAAACGGGCGATTGGGGCCTGCTGGCGAGGGGCTTGGGAGAACGAGACTGGAAACTGGCGAGCTAGGTAGAGGAGGACTCGGACCCTGGGCAGAAGGTTCGGGCCCTGGGCTGGAGAGATTGGGGAGAGAGGGAGGGGGGGAAGGTTGGTCTTCAGCCCCGGGTGACGGTGCGGATGTGCAGCGGATTGAGGAGCTCTGGCGGCGGCTACTGTGTCGATGTGAGCCGGCCCTGATCTACCTGCAGAGCTTGTTGGTGTGGGAGCGGCCGCTACAAAGCGGCCTGATGCTGCTCGGCCTCTCCGGCCTCTTCTGGTAAAGATCCCCTGTCACTGATTGGGACACGCTTCTGTAGTCGTGATTCCGGGAGAATTACTGGGGCCAATGTCTCTGTCTGCCATCCCCGGCCTAGATTTTCAGCCCTATCCTGGAGCCGGGGGAGAGGGGCAGGGGGCCGGGATTTCATACGGGGGCCATTGTTCCCCCAGAACTTGAGGGGAAGCAACATTCTCCCTTGGCACCTGAGGCCAGATCTATTCCTAAATGCATATCACAAAATGAAATTATTTGGTTATTTAGGTGGGTACTTGAAACATCATACAAGACCGCAGGCCAAGTGCTGGAAAATAGAATTAGAATAGATGAATATTTGATAACCAGCAGCAAATGGGCTGAAAAGACCGTTTGGCATGCTATAAAAAGTCTATGACTCCACTCTTGCTCAGACTTGATTTCCATATTGAGTGTTTGTCCAAATTGATGCTCATTTTCTACAGAAAGCAGTGTCTGTGATTTGAAGCATTTCAGTGGACTGCATCTAACATGCTATAACCAGTGAAGGTTTACTAGGTTGATGCTATGGATGGAAGAATTTTATAATGAAGAAAGGTTGAGTAAATTGGGCTTGTACGCATTGGAGTTTGGAAGAATGAGGGAAGACCACATTGGAGCCCCTAAGAATCTTGTGTGTTTCACAGCGTAGATGCAGCGAATTTGTTTCCTGTTTTTAGAGAGTCTGGGACCAGAGGGCATAACCTGAATAAGGAGTTGCCCAGAGGGTAGTGAATCTGTGGAATTCTTTCCGGCAGAGGGCTGTTGAGTCTGGGTTGTTAAATATATTCAGATTGTTCATCAGTAAGGGAATCAAGGGGTATTGGGGAAACAGCAGAAAGTGAAATTGAGGACTATAGACCAGCCGTCATTTCATGGCTGAGCTGATTTGATGGGCAAATGACTTACTTGTGCTCCTGTGTCTTGTGACCTTTAAATGTCCATGGTTGTGAAAAGGATAGAATCCCTTCAGTATGGAAACAGCCATTCGGCATGTCAAGTCCACACTGACTCTCCAAAGAGCATCCCACCCAGACTTCCCCACCCTCCCTGTCCCCGTAACACTGCATTTCCCATGACTAATCCACCTAACCTACACAAAAGCATTTTATAAATTTAGGATATTCTTTATGTTAAATAGCATCTGAGATTATTGGCTGTATATATAGAGAAATAGAGTTTGCATAAGCATTCATAAATCTGTTTTTAACAGATTTCCTAAATGCTCTACTGCCTGAAATAGTCTGTCTGCCATTCTCTGTCTTCCTGAACTCAACTTTATATCCTTTTATATTCTTCCCTTATTCATCATTTTGTTAACTCATTTATGGGATGTGGGTGTCACTGGCTGGCCAGAATTTGTTGCCCACATACCAAAATATATCCTTTTGAACTTCTCTGCTTTTTATTTAGTCAGCTTACCTAAGTGACTTGTGTCTCTTGTTCATTTGCCCCTTGTCCAGTGTTGTGTCCCATTTGCTCATGAACAACACATTGCTTATTATGTTAAAGCTGCTATATCAGAAGCTTTTTCCTAGGGTGGATGAGTCAATTACCAGGGGCCCTGGGTTTAACATGCGAAGGGCAAGGTTTAAAGATGATGTACGAGGCAAGTATTTTACACAGAGGGTGGTGTGTGCCTGGAACTCGCTGTTGGGGGAGGTAGTGGAAGCAGATACTATTGTGACTTTTAAGAGGCGTCTTGACAAATATATGAATAGGATGGGCATAGTTCTTTTTTTTTTTGCTTATAAATTTATTGAATTCATTCTTGGTGCGAAGGAATGTCATATTTGAAGAGAATTTCACTGAATATTTTCAGGAGTTTAGAAGAATGAGAGTGATCTGATTGTGATGTGTAACATTTTTGGTGGGCTTGACAGGCGAACACTGAAATGTTAGTCTCTCACATCAAAGCGAGAAACTCTAGGTTCAGAATGTAGATTTGGTAATTTCAGACTGAGATGAGGAATTCCTTCACTTGTGGAGTTGCACATCTTTCAAATTCTCTACCAAGGAAGGCTGATGATGCTTAGTTTGTCAGTAAATTCAAGATGGGGATCAATAAATTCTTGGACTTTGGGAGGTATGGCTATTGGGTGGAAAAGTAGAATTGATGTAGAAGATCAACTGAGATATTGAATATTGAAGCAGGCTCAAGGGACCAAATGCCCATTCCTATTCCTTCTATAAACGGTGGTATTCTCCAAAGAGCAGAGAATCTACAAGGGAATTTTGATCAGTGTTTTCAAAATGACCAAACAGCTTCCTGTGCCATATTATGAAGATCTGCTAAATGTCAGGTGGATGGGGCTGCAATCTGAACAGGGTAAATTTCAAACCAGTTGGCAGAGTAGGTGATTTTGGAAAGGAATTTCAAGCCCAGACTTTGTAGTTACGATGCTGAGTTGGTATATATGTGAATTAATTGTCTTGAGTGACGTCTCCCTTTCATTTCCCACATTCAGGTTGTTTTCCTCTACTTCGCTGCGTCCAATCTTCCTGATTAGCTTGTCGGCGCTGGCCACTGTATTCCTGGACAATTGGAAGAGCGAGTTGTTACCCCATGTTGCTGGTAAGCTGAGCCCTTCTCTGCACACAGTCCACGATGAACACCAATCCAGTGACCTCTAAAGTCCCTGCCACTGATGACCACAGTCCCTCCTCGCCAGTATCTCCCAGATATGATGACCTGAACAGCAAGACCACACGCTTTGCCCCTACATTATCCACATATGCACAGCAGAATCGTACTGGAGTCTGACCACCATGAGCTATCGTGATACTTATGGCACAATCTGAGACGTTCTAAGAGGCCAGTTGACATAAGAAACCACTTGCTACATCTTCTGTGTATTTGCTGAGTGACGAGGCGAGTTTCTTGCTGGGACGCAATGGCACCTCAACTAACCTGATCAATATTCAGCTTCTTATTTTATTAACCTCACCAAATAATCTGGATGTCAAGAAAACTTGCCTTGGAAGTCAGAATGGGTACCTGGCAATTTCAGCTTGCTGCTGGCTGTGAGGAACCTCTATGTTGCGCAGCATCAAGCAGCATATCAATGTGATCAATGGCCATGAAGCATGATTTTGCAAAATCCAGCTACATTTAACTCGTAATTGTACCTTTTCCCATATTCAATGCATGCAGTAGATGTGTTTGCGCTTCAAAGGTGACCATGCCATTGGTCACGAGTTTTACATTGCCTTATCGAACCCCTCCGTTATGGTGCCCCTCACTTCCGATCCTAACCCTATTTTACCACGTGTCGTTTGTTTGCCAGTTGGGTCAAACAGCAGGCAAAGTGATAGATGCTGCGGACCTGGAGGAATGGGAGTGGCCATGCAAGGAGAGTGATAAGAAAGATCCCCTTGTGGATGTCGGAGCTCAGCTGCATCAGGCACCTCGAACCACACAGGGTCTGATTGGCACTTTGTTCCAGTAGACATGAACTGGATGCAGAAGACCATTATAGAATATAAGATAGTCCTTGGTTGTGATGCCAGCATTTGGATTGCATTGGGAGGCCAACCTGCTACCTCTAGTCATTTTGTTTATGTTTACTACCGGTAGCTGTCAATACAAGTGCACGTTTAGACTTCTCCAATTGTTATTTCCACTGCAACAGTTCTATGACCCTTTGATCTTTTGCTTATAAATTCTGTGTCTGATACCACCTCTCTTACTCTCACCTAAAGGAGTGAGACTGCGAAAGCTTGCGTCTTCAAATAAACTTGGACTATAACTTGGTGTAGTGGGATTTTTGACCTTGTCCACTCCAGTCCAACGCTGGCACCTCCACATCACATTTTCCCTACTGGGTAATGACAAGATGTGGGTGGAAACAGGGACAAAGTAGCGCTGACCCTAGAGAAGGTATTCAGATGTGCATGGATGTAGCTAAAGACAAGTAAATGGTGTGATGTGATAGACAATAACAAGGGTGAGAGAATGGAGTTGTAAATATGAGGGAGTGTAGCCTGGTTGGCTGTGGGCAGCATGTTTTATGGCTGCTGTGCCATTTGGGTAACACCGAATGCCAACACTTGTCCAGGTTGCACAGATGCTGGTCTTTCAGTGGCTATCTGGGGAATAGAGTGTTATTCTGGGAGCGGTGCATGGTACGATAGGGTTAGAATCAGATATGAGGGATACCATAGGGCAGGGTTGGAGAGTTGATGAAGCATGCTTGATAAGATGTGATGGGAAATTACACTGAGCCTTCATGAGCATCCCTCCAAAAACTTATCGTGGCGAGCAATTAGCCAAAAGATTCAGTCCATAGTAACCACCCAGAGATCGTTCCCTCTTGAACCACTCCCTGGAGTGGAGCCCTCAGTGTAACCTAGAAATTAATGTCAGTGTGTGCAGAGAGTGACAGTGTTTTACCTTTTATTTTTATACAGTCCAGCGCCTCATGGATGAAGGTGAGAGGTATGTTTTTTCCATTATATTTGATGAATCTGAATCATTTTTCAATGGACGACATAACCAAACACTGTCTTAACCTAAGAATACCTGGAGTGCCATCTTCAGCTGCAGTACTGATGCCCACAAGCTAGGCTGATGCTTCTTTCTTGGCATCAGCTTGTGTGACCCTGCACCTAAGATTGAAATAATTAATCTTTGAGAAGCAGCAGAGTGATAAGCTTCTATGCAGACAGTAGGTAAACAAAAAATGCATTGACTCTCCCAGGATTGATGAAGCTGGACCAAAGACAGTGAATGCTGGAGAAATTCAGAAGGCCTGGCAACATCTGAGCAGAGAAATATTAATTCTCTTTCTCTCCACAAATGTCACCGGACACGTTGAGTTTCTACAACATTGTGTTTGTTTCAGATTTTTCAAGCATTTGCGGTATTTTACTTTTATTTACTGCTGGGTTTGTTCTTTTGAGACTGATCATGTCGTGCTGAGTAAATCTGCATGCACAGCTTCTCACAGGCTGGCCTGCGAAGGACTGATTCTGGTTGCATTAGCCAGGATCTGTTGGAGACACCTACCTTCTTGTTGAGTAACACAAACAGGTGTTAAGGGTGGCTCAGTGATTAGCACTGCTGCTTCACAGCACCAGGGACCCAGGTTTGATTCCAGCCTCGGGTGACTATCTGTGTGAAATTTGCATAGGTTTCCTCTGGGTGCTCTGATTTTGTCCCACAGTCCAAAGATATGCACGTTAGGTGTCTTAGCCATGGGAAACAGTGACAGGGTAAGGGGATGGGGATGGGACTGGGTGGATACTCTTTGGAGGGTTGGTATGAACTCAATGGGCTGAATGGCCTGCTTCCACACTGTAGGGATCATATGAATACTGTGAAACAGAATAAGTTCCTCCTGATCAGACATGCAAACGAAACACGGAACTATGAATGCTGGTGATCTGAAAGGAAAACAGAAATTACTTGTGAAACTCAGCAGGTCTGGCAACATCTATGCAGAGAAAGCAGGGTTCAGAGTTCGGTGACACTTCTTCAAACCTGCTGAGTTTTGCCAGCAATTTCTGTTTTTGTTTCAGAAACGCAAATAACCTAGATTTCTCCCTCTTCCCAGAATCAGTTATGGAGATCTAGGTTAGGTTTGTCTTGTGTTGTGTTCTCACATCTGCTGTGAACACTCTTGGTGGTGCGGTGGTGGCCTCGTGGTATTATTGCTGGGACTATTAATTCAGGGACCCATGTAATGGTCTCGGGATCTGGGTTTGACTGTTGCCATGGCAGATGGTGGAGTCTGAATTCAGTAATCTGGAAATAAGAGTTTAATGATGACTACGAAACTATTGCTGATTCAGGAAAAATAACACCTGGTTTACTAATGTGCTGTAGGGAAAGGAAACTGCCATCCTTACCTGGTTTAGCCTACCTGTGACATAGTAATGTGGTTGACTACTGCCCTCTGGGCAGTAAGGTGTGAGTAATAAATGCTGGCCTGGAGAGTGATGCCTGTGTGCTGTGAATGAATATAAAATTACTGAATCCCCACTATCAACATCCTTTTGGTGGCATTTACTTCTGACATCATTGGTGTCAGGGTGGATGAATCTTAGAATGTTTTTCAAAAATCTAGATATTTCGCAAGATGTGGATATTGATGGCTAGACCAGCATTCATTGCCATCCGTAAATGTCCTTGAACTGGGTGGCTTGCTTGATTATTTCAGAAGACAATTAAAAGTTGCCATATTTTATTTAGATTTGGAGTCCCATAGGCCAGACCAGATAAAGACTGCAGGTTTTCTTTCGCAAAGGATGTTAGTGAAGTAGAAAAGTTTACCCAAGTGACAGTTACTTAGTCAACGATACTGAAGCTAGTATTAAAATTGAAAGCTATTAATTGAATTTAAATTCCACGAGTGTTGTGGTGGGATCTGAAACCATGTCACCAGAACATTAGCTGGGGCTCAACTACAAACACTGACATGATCACTGCGTTGCCAATTACCCAAATTGCCCAAGAGAAGGTGTTGCTGAGCTGCTACCTTGAGCTACTGCATTCATGTGGTGTACTGACACAGTGGTGTTAGGTAGAGAGTTATTGGACTTTTTGTCCCAGGGTCATTGCAGGAATGATGATATGGCTTCATGTAGGGAGTGGGTGTGGCTTGGAGGTGGTGAGATCCCATTTCTCTGCTGCCCTTAACATTACAGGTGATGGAGATTGGGGCTTGGAAGGTGCTGTTGAAGGAACGTTGATAAGTTGCTGCAGTGCATTTTATCCATGGTGTACACTGCTGCTCTGAGTGGCGAAGGATGTGAATGTTATAGGTGTTGGGTTACTCTGTCCTGGATGTTGTCAAGCTTCTCGCGTAGTGTTGGATCTGCACTCATCCAGGCAAGTCGGGTGTATTCTATCATTCCTAACTTGTACCTTGTAGCTAGTAGACAGCCATTGGAGATTCCGTGAGTTAATTGATGCAGAATTCCTAGCCTATAACCTGCCATTGAATTTATACGGCTAGTCCAGTTCAGTTTCTGATCCATGGTAACCTGTAAGATATTAAAAGTGGGAATTCAGCGATAGTAACACCTGGAAATATTAAGGGGCACACCTATTAGTGTTGACTTTGTTGGCACTGCGTTTAACCCTCATTTCAAAGACAGGGTTTAATGTAACCATTTCTGATCATAATCCCCTTCTGCAGTCCTGATTTCTGTGAACTAAATTGTTCACAGAATTTAGTTCCATTCTAAATTGAGCTAAATTTAATTGGTTGTTTCTCTTCTGTAACTAGTGATGGAAACTCCATAAGGCCTCGTCTCCTCAGGCTGCCTGATCTTTGCCACTATCTTGCTGAAAGCTGTGTGGCCTTTAACGTCTACCTGAAGGAAGTTCTGGAGTACAAGAAACAGAACCCAGGCAAGGTAGGGCACATCACTTAGTGATGGGGAAGGGGAGCTGGGTGATGGCAAGGAGTGGCACACTGAGCAGTGTTTACTACCCTTTCACTCTGTCCCCTGAGGGTTTTTTTGTGGTATAAAGATTAAATCTTGCTTTTGACTCTTTTATTTTCCTTCAGTTCTGTTTGAAGATGTGTCTTGGATGCTCAGCATTGGCTGCGATTGGACATTATATCCCAGGAATCATGATATCCTACATCTTCAGTGAGTATGTTCATTCTGAAACCAGATGAAGTAAGAAACAAGATGTCAATCCTTCATGCAAATATGCAGACTAGAACATCTTTCCAGTTCCTCCCTAAAAATGTCAAGTGCTGTCTTTAAAACATTAGATTCCAAACAATATTTTAAAATAAATAGGCAAAAATGATTTTCCATACTACATGTTCCACATAATACAAAGTATCCCTCTTCTAGGGCCTCTAGTAATCTCCATTTGCATTCATTTTTTTTGTAAAATAATCTGACAATCAATTATTTGTCTTGATTTATTGTATCTTTGAAATTTCTTGCTAGCATCTCTTACACTTGCAGGGTCAGTCCTTAAACTTTTTCAGTCAAACTTTGTCAATTGTGCATTGTCTCATAGGGAACAATTATCATTATAACATTCAGTAGGGAAATTATCCTCTGAATGCCTTTGGACAAAATTTCTCTTGAAATATTTGATAAGTTGGACGCAATATCATTGCTTCTACTTGAGTCAGTGTTTCTACAATTAAAGTACTTTCAACTACATTTTTAAAAAAAGTTTGTTTCCCAGGGTGAGGGGCAACACCATTTTTCATTGACATCCACCAAAAATGTTCTAAATCCAGCTGCTCTCAAATGTTCATCATTTACTCAGCCTAATGCATTTAAGGACCCCGAAACCTGACTTCCAAAAAAATTATTCTTTAATCTCATTTTTTAAACATATCACTCATTCCACATAGTTCTAACATAGAAAATAATTAACCTTCATAAAAAGATGCTTGAGATTCACTTAGGAATTTCAAGTAGACGAGGCTGAGAAATACCATAGTAATGAGAAATAAGCATCTTTCATTTCCATAAATGCCTCTAGTTTCCAGTTTCCTTTCTATGTCACTTACCTTAAATCTATGCCTTCCAGTTCTGGTCTCCCCCACGCCGGGGAAAAGACCTTAGCTATTCACCCTATGCCACTCATGATTTTATGAACCTCTAAGGTCAGCCCTCAGCCTCTGACACTCCAGGGAAAATAGTCCAGGTCTATTCAGCCTCTCCCTATAGCTCAAACCCTTTAACCCTAGCAACATCCTTGTAAATCCTTTCTGAACCCTTTCAAGCTTCACAACACCCTTACTATAGCAGGGAGACCAACATTGAACACAATATTCGAAAAATGGCCTAACCAATGTCATGAACAGCCGCAACATGATCTCCCAACTCCTATACTCAATGCACTGACCATAAAGGCAAGCATACCAAACGCTGCCTTCACTATCCTGTCTACCTGTGACTCCACTTTCAAGGAACTATGAATCTTCACTCCAAGGTCTCTTTGTTCAGCAGCACTCCCCAGGACTTTACCATGAAGTGTATAAGTCCTGCCCTGATTTGTCTTCCTAAAATGCAACTCCTCACAATAATGTAAATTATACTTCATCTGCCAGCCTTTGGCTCATTGGCCATCTGATCAAGGTCTCGTTGAGCTCTGAGGTAACCTTCTTTGCTGTCCACTAAACCACCGATTTTGGTGTCATCTGCAAACTCACTAACCATACCACTTATGTTCACATCCAAATCATTTATATAAATGACAAAAAGCAGTGGACATAGGTCCTTGTGGCATACTGCTGGTCACAGGCCTCTAGTCTGAAAAGCAACCCTCCACCACCCTCCATCTCCTCCCTTCAAGCCAATTGGGTATCCAAATGGCTAGTTCTCCTTGTATTCTGTCATCTAATCTTGTTAACCCGTCTACCATGTGGAACCTTGTCAACTGCCTTACTGAAGTCCATATAGATCATGTCCACCGCTCTGCCTTCATTAATTCTCTTTGTTGCTTCTTCAAATAACTTGGTCATTAGTCAGACATGATTTCCCATACACAAAGCCATGTTGACTATCTCTAATCATTCCTTGCTGTTCCAAATGCATGGAAATCCTGTCCCTTAGGACCCCCTCAAACAATTTGCCCACCACTGATGTCAGGCTCACTAGTCTATAATTCCCTGGCTTTTCCTTACCACCTTTCTTAAACAGTGGCACTACATTAGCCAACCTCTAGTCTTCTGGCACTTTATTTGTAGCTATTGATGATATGAATATCTCAACAAGGGGTACAGCAATCACTTTCTTAGCTTCCCACAGAGTTCTAGTGTATGCCTGATCAAGTCCCAGAGACTTATCCACCTTAATGCATTTTATGATGTCCAGCACCATTTCCTGTTTAATAACGACATCTTGAAAAGTGCCCATATTTATTTCTCCAAATTCTCCATCTTCCACATTCTTCCCCACACTAAACACTGATGCAAAATATTTCTCCCCCATCTCCTGTGGCTTCACACATAGGTGACCTTGTTCATCTTTTAGGGGCCCAAATCTCTCCCTAATTACTGTTTTGTCCTTAATGAGTTTGTACAATCCCTTGGATTCTTCTTAACCCTACTTGGCAAAACCATCTGGATTTTTAAGCCTCTTTTTGTAACTAATAACTCTAGTCTTTCTTTAGCTATTTGGAAAACCTTTTACTGTATGTTGTCATAAAGTGGAGGTTGTAAAGTAACTAAAACCGAGACACCCAGAGAGACTCGCCTTGCCCCATCATCTGTTAAAAGAAGTGTGAAAAATGGTATAACTGGCCTTTCACTCCCCAGTCTGTTATAAAGGAGTGGTTAAATGAAATTAACTCCTGACACCCACTCAATAATCAACAAGTAACTATTTATCTAATAGTGAACCAATTAACTGAACTGTTAACAAACCAAACAATTCCTTTCTAACCACTAACTATTCCTGAATAAAACAAAATTCTAATAGTATGTTGTTCCAATAAATACAAGTCCCACTTATATAATCCAAAGTATAAAAAAAGTTAGAACTTATTCTCTCGAAATTATAGCCAGGTTGCATCTTCCAGAATGTTCTGTGCTTTCTCTGTTGATCTTCTGTCAAGAACGCCGTTCTGTCGAATTCTTTTGTCAGGGATATTAGCTAAGAGTGCCGCGGTACCTTTTAGATGATGCTTACTCTGAGGCTTAGAGAATTCTCTGAGAACCAATGATTCTTTCTTTAGAGCTGATAGTTGTTAACTTGGCAGATGGCAGTTTGCTGTCTGCAGATTTTGCAAATGCCCTTTTTTTTATACCCTTTGACATATCAATTTCTTATAATAGGATTGGTCCTATGTTGTCAAAACCATCTGATTTAAATTTAATTGGTTTTTTGGTCTCTGCGTGCCTGGTTTAAATTAATTGGCTAACTTCAAACTTGTCTTGATAACAAAACAAAACTGCAGCTTGGACTGCTAACTATACAGCCTTTGATACAAATTGTTACAATTCAGATGGTCTGTGCATCTGCAAACCCACAGACGCATTTTATTTTTCTCTCTCCAAGCCTCAAAAAAAGCACATCATCTTTTAAAGGGGCCACACCATCTTCCCCCCCACCCTACCCCCCATCATTTTACAAACATGAAATTCTAACAGCCGGCCTTCCAAACCACACGTACTCGACCCAACTTGGCAGCTACTCCCCACTTAAGAACAAAGGTGAACCATCATTATGAAAAGATAGCTTCATTATTTTTATAAACCTTAATGCCTTTATTACCAGATCCATAGGTCATCAATCAAGAGTTACACATTTCATACTAATTGTATATACATGTATGACACTGAAAACCACCATTTCTATTATATCTAAATATTTTTCTTTTAAACCTGCGATAAAGCATCCACAATGCCATTTTCACAACTGGCAACATGTACAGTCTGTAAATTAAATGCTTGTAAGATAAGACTCCAATGAAATCACCTTTAACTTTTTCCCAGGGAGGAAGAGTCCGTTACTATGGGGCATAGATTTAAGGTGCGAGGGACAAGGTTTAAAGATCATGTATGAGGCAGGTCTTTTACAGAGGGTGATGGTTGCCTGGAGCTCGATGCTGGGGGAGGTAGTGGAAGCAGATACTATAGTGACTTTTAAAGGGCGTCTTGACAAATACATGAATAGGATGGGAACAGAGGGATACGGTCCCCGGAAAGGTGTAGGGGGTTTTAGTTGTGACGGGCAGCATGTTGGTGCAGGCTTGGAGGGCTGAAGGGCCTGTTCCTGTACTGTAATTTTCTTTGTTTTTAATAATTCTTGTCCTTAAACCTTTCCAAAAATGTCAAAGGGTTGTGACTGGTGTACACAAACGATCTGATGCATTGTTTGCAACATAAACATTATAATGTTGTAAGGTCAGTACCAAACTCAGCAACTCTTATTCAATGGTTGAATATTGTTTCTCATGGATATTGAGTTTCTTTGAAAAATAACTGGCCTTTTAATTCCACTATCATCCTTCTGTACCAACACCGTTGCAATCCCTACATCACTTACGTCAATGGTGACTTTAGTGGGTTTCAAGAAAATTGGTGCGGTGGTTAACACAGCTTTTGAATTCTCAAATACCTCCCGGCCTTGTTCTGTCCATCGAAATTTCGTGTTCTTTTTTGATTAATCTCTCAGTGGTACTACTACGCTACTGAAGTTTGGTATAAATTTCCTGTGGAAGCCGCTCAATCCCAAAAACCGTAGCACTTCCTTCGTCAAGGGTGATCCTGGAAATTTGTTGATGGCCTTTGTCTTTATGTTCCTCTGTGTCATCCGTCCATATGTGATATTGTTCCCTAAGAATGTCACTTTTGCATTCACAAATTCTGTTTTTGCCAAATTTATTACCAAATTTGCCTTCTGTAGTCTCCAGGAGCTCTGCCAAATGCTCCATGCCATTTTTTCCACAAATAGCTAAAGATCTCTAAGTCATCTATATAGATGGCACAATTAGTCAATTCTGCCACAATTTTGTTCGTAAGTCTTTGAAAAGTGGCTGGTGCATTTTTCATTCCCAAGGACAATACTTTAAACTCACATAGACTATTTGGGATTACAAAATCAGAAACTTCTTTTGCTCACTCTGACAAAGGTACTTACCAGTAACTGTAATGTAAGTGGTTTGTCCTACATTTTCCACACAGTCCTCCAGCCTTGAAAT